GGTTTCTATGAGATTCTTCTAAATTGCAGTCAATATAGTCCTAATCAATCCAACCTCTGTTTGTACATCAGTCCTGGTACTCAGGTGGGAGAGATATCAAAATCTCATAAAATTAGCACATGACCAGGTTACTGCAGTATTTTCCCGGGTGACCTCTCTTGTACTTTGTGGTATTTACCACCTTTACCAGAAGTGATGCTGCTTAAAGATTGTTTGAGGTAGTTCGCTGCCCCCCGTTCTCCTCCGTCTTTGCTTTCCCTTGCCCTCTCTAGTGATACACCACTATAAAATATCAACAGGAGAGGCACAGTTCTTAGACAACAGGACCATCGTAGTAATAAGTGCAACTACATTTGGCCAGGAAAAATGAATAGAGCAGAAAATGCTGGAAAAACTCAGCAGGCCTGGCAGCATTTGTAGAGAGAGAAACAGACTTTGTATTTCGATTCTGATATGTCTCCTCCAAGCCAGTACCAAACATGGATATTGGTCAGTTCGTTTAGCCAAAAAATGTCAGGAAGACTGAATCTTCAGAACACCATTTGGAAAATATTGTTTGTGTAGACTATGGGCTGAATTTCATGTTTCTTTTGGCTCATCTAAATACTTTGTAAGCATCTTGAGGGCTCCACCTCTACCATCTACATGGGCAATGAGTTCCAGATACGAATGACCCTCTGATGAAAGTAATTCTTTCTGAAATCCCCTCTAAACCTCCCACTCCTTATCTTAAAATGGTGCCCTTTGGTTATTGACTATTCCACTAAGAGGAAAGGTTTCTCCCTATCTTCTCTCTCGCTGGCCCTCATAACCTCAATCAGGTTCCCTCCCCACCTCCTCCCCAAGCCTTCTCTGCTCTAAGGAAAACAACCAGAGCCTATCTGGTCTCTCTTCATAGCTGAATTGCTTCAGACCAAGAAACATCCTGCCGAACCTCCTCTGTACCTTCATTCGCGCAATCATATTCTTCCTACAGTGTGGTAACCTGACCTACACAGTGCTGCAGCTGTGAGCTAGCTAATGCTATATGCAGCTCCATCATAATCTTCTTGCTCTTGTATTCAATGCCTTGACTAATAAGGGCATGTATCTTATTTGCCTTCTTGGCCATTTCATCTGCCTGTCTGACTGCCTGCGAGGATCTAGGGGCATGCACACCAAAGCCCCTCTAATCATCCCAGGATCCAACTATTCATCGTGTCCCCCCTTGCCTTGATCGTCCTCCGAAAATGCACCACCTTGCACTTTTCAGATAAAATTCCATTTGCCACTATTGAGCCCCTGTCTATATTGTCCTGTAGTCTAAGGCCTTCTTCCTCATTAGTTACTACAACACCAAATTTTGTAACATCTGCTCAACTTACTGATCATGCTTCCCACATTCATGTGGAGATCATTAATGTACACAACAAACAGCAAGGAACTCAGCACCAAACCCAGTAGTACACCAATGAACTCAGGCTTCGTCACAAAACCACTCTTCGGCCAATACTCTCTGCTTCCTGCACTAGGTCAAATTTGGATCCAGTTTGTCAAATTACCCTGAATCTGATTGGCTTCTTAACCAGACCTTGTCAAAAGCCTGACTGAAGTCCATGTACACTACATCAACTGCACTACCCTCATCTACACACTTGATCAATTCCTCGAAAGATCCTATCAAATTTATTAGGCATAATGTCCTCTGACAAAATCATGCTGATCAAACTTTGCCTCTCCAAGTGGAGATTAATTTTCTCCTTAAGAATTTTCTCCAATCGTTTCCCTACCACTAATGTGAGATTCACTGATCTGTAACTCCCTGGGTTTATCCTCAACATGTTTTTTGAAAGGTGGAACCACGTTATCTGTCCTCCAATCCTCTGGCATCTCTGCTGTGGTCAGAGAGGAATTAAAAGTTTGAATCAGAGCCCCTGCAATTTCCTCGTCACCTCCCACAGCAGCCTGGGATACAACCTGGAGATATGACAATCTGCTCAAGAATCTCTCAGACACTATCCCCAAATTCTGAACCTACATTCCCTTCTTCGGCATGAAGCGAGAAGTGAAGTACTCATCGAACACCCTACTCATGTCCTCTGGCTCCATACACACAGATTGTATTCTTTGTCCCAAATGGACTGTACTCATTCGCTGGCTATCTTCCCTTTAATATACTTATCGAATATCATTGGCTTTTCCCTAATTTTACCTGCCAGTTATATTTTCATACCCCTTTCTTTACTCTCTTATTTGCTTTTTTGAGATCCCCTTCTGCACTTTCTATACTCCACTACTGCCACCATTGATTCAGAGGATTAGATAGGGTGAACAGTGGGAGCCTTTTCCCTCGGATGGTGATGGCTAGCACGAGGGGACATAGCTTTAAATTGAGGGGTGATAGATATAGGACAGATGTCAGAGGTAGGTTCTTTACTCAGAGAGTAGTAAGGGCGTGGAATGCCCTGCCTGCAAAAATAGTAGACTCGCCCACTTTAAGGGCATTTAAATGGTCATTGGATAAACATATGGATGATAATGGAATAGTTTAGGTTAGATGGGCTTCAGATTGGTTTCACAGGTCGGCGCAACATCGAGGGCCGAAGGGCCTGTACTGCGCTGTAATGTCCTATGTTCTATGTTCTATGTTCCCTTTCTACCTGAAAGCCTCTTTTCATTTTTATCCAGCCCTGAATATTCCTAGAGATCCAGGGTTCTCTGGGCTTGTTGCTCCTACATTTCACACTAAAAGGAGCATGTTGGGCCTGTACTCTCCCCATTTTGTTTTTGAACACCTCCCACTGTTCTGCTGTAGATTTTTCCACAGGCAGCTGTTTCCAGTTTACTTTGGCTAGATCCTGCCTTATTTTAATAAAATCTGCCTTGTCCCCAATTGAAAACCCTTTAGTGCAGACCATCTTTCTCCTTTTCCATAACAAACTTAAATCATACTCTAGTTGTAGTCATGATCACTAAACTGATCCCTCATTGCTACCTTGACCACCTATCTCGCTTTGCTCCCCAGAATTAGGTCAAGCACTAAGTCATCCCTTGTTGGATCTTCCACGTGTTGATATAAAAGCTCCCCTGAATATATTTCAAGAATTCTACTCCCTTTAAACATTTACACTCTGACTGTCCCAATTAATGATGTACAACTTGAAACTTCTTAACTTCCCCTCAATGAATTGTCTACATATCGGCTCCTCTATTGCCCGCTGACTATTTGGGGCCCTCTAATACACTCCCTGCAATGTGACTGCCCCTTTTTTTATGCCTAAATTCTACTCACAAAGCCTCACTTGAAGATCCTTCAAAATAATCATCTATTCTTAATTAATAATGCAACACCACCTCCACTTTTATCCCTCTCTTGACCCACCTGAGACCATGAAAGCACCTAAAGAAACACAGACCATACATATGCATGAGGTCCATCAATATATGTTCGATAATTGATCTTTCAATGAAATGACAGCAGAAAATGTCGTAGCAAGTCCCAAGGATGAAGACAATCCTGGAACTCGACATTTGTATCAGGCAAGATGACAAACCAATTGCATTTAGATTCCAAAATATATCACAAGCGCAATCCAATTATTCCAATATAACATGTGAAACATTAACTAATTCAGCATCAAAAGATTCTATGCAAATGTTCAACAAACAATTTGCTGAAAGCAATCACAATCCACGAAGAACAATTTGCTGCAAACTACTGACAAGTGTGTCACAACGACTGTAATGACTTCTGCTAGAAATACAGAGAGATGTCTCCTACAAACCTGGTACCAAAATGGTTCCTTCAGGTACACTAACTTGTCTTCCAAACTCAGTCAGTTAAATTGTTTGATCATTCTACCCTGTTATAAAGCTAGAAATACTAGCAACCATCCATATGAAGGAGCTTAAAAGAGGCAGTGATAGATCTTGCAAGTTGCATGTAAAGCTGAGAATCATGAAGCTTTAACAAAAATACAAATTTCAATGCATCAAATTGTAAACGCGATCCAAGGCAATCTATTCACACATATATCATCACACCTCCAAGGCCTTTGAGATGTCCCCCAAAAAAAGCAGACACAGATATGCATATATTTTCAAATGTATGAACATCTGTTCCTAAATACCACCAACTTATTCTGTAATGTGTAAATGTTGAAGCTTACAAGGTGCTTTTATTCCTTCCTGCATTTATTGAAAACTATGGGTTTCAGGTACTGCCAGCCATTTATAATGCATTTCTTTTGAAGGGTAGGGAAACTTTGCTGTCTACAGAAGAAAATTAGGGGTGGCACAGTGGCTCAGTGGTAGCATTGCTACCTCACAGCTCCAGGGACCTGGGTTCGATTCTCAGCCTTGGGTGACTGTCTGCATGAAGTTTGCATGTTCTCCCCATGTCTGCATGCATTTCCCTGGGTGCTCTGGTTTCCTCCTACAGTCCAGAGGTGTGCAGGCTAGATGGATTGACCATGCTAAATTGCCAAGAGTGTCCAGGGATATGCAGGCTAGGTGGGTTAGCCATGGAAATGCAGGGTTACAGGGATGGGTTGGGTCGGGGTAGGGGATGTCCTTCAGAGAGTCAGTGTGTACTCAACAGACCAAATGGCCTGCTTCCACAAAGTAGGAGTTCTATGATAACCCTTCAAAAATCCTGGAGGGAAACTGAAATGACCAGTGATGTAGTAGCATGGGACAATCTGAGACAGATTCCAAATGGGGTACATACTTTCAGGGGCAGGCAACATACCCTTCCAAGCAGAACTCATTGAACTGTATTTCTCTGCCAGTGCTGTTGTTAAATGTGTCTAAACTCTCTTTCAGAAGTTAAAAAAAAACTTTGACAATCACCTTAAAGTTATTTTCAGTTAAAAGGGTAGATATTTGTAGATTGCACATTGAGGACATGACTAAATTCAGCACGGGTTAATGATTGAAATGCAGTTTACAATAACAAATGTTTTGGTCAAAAGTTTGGAATGCTGTTGAGGGAAGCTTTCAGCTTCAAGACAGCAACTTACTTTTTAGAATCTCAGGGTTATAATATGTTGCTGCAAATGTCACGGGTTCCTCCGTGACTGTTCCGAAGCCAGTTTCTCTGTAGAGTGGTCGGCCTTTCATCAACTGACATTTCAACATTTTCCAGTGCTCTGGGTAAAATATCGTCATGAGTTCGTCCACACTGGATACAGACCGCAACTGATGTTCCAGTTCACTGCTCATATGACCCTGACAAAGAACACAAAGAGCGTCAGTGAAACAGCACACAGGCAGCAATACAGATGTGGTAATGCTTGAAATTAGGGCAGCACAATGACCTGGCGCACACATTTACAAATATTTGACTGTAACGGAGGCTATCCTGTCACTAGATATATGGAATCCCATTTCTGGATGATACATTGTGCAACAGATGGCCCTGACTTGTTCGGAATTGAAAGATAATTGCACCATAGCAATGAATTCTGCTGATACACTTGATAAAATACAAAAGCCACAAAGATAAATGGCCTGTGCACCTCAATAAAGAACACCAGAGCTAAATGGTGTAGTGATAATGTTACTGGTGCAACTATCCTTGAAGTCTGGACTAATATGCCTGAAAATGGGAGTTCAACTCCTAGCAAGGCTACTTGTGTTGTCAAATCCAGTTTATAAACGAAATTCATATTCAAAACAATTATTGGAAAAATTGGAAGGGGTGGGGGGTAAAAGTTGTTAAACTATTTTGTATTAATTGTATTAATTTGTATTAATTGAATCCACACAGACATAAAGATAGGCATACAGATTTGGTCCCCTTCCTTGAGAAGGGATGTAATTGCATTGGAGTCAGTTCAGAGAAGGTTTACTAGATTGATTCCAGAGATGAAAGACATGTCTAATGAGGAGAGATTGAGCAGTTTAGCCCTATGCTCGCGAAGTTTGTAATAAGAGGAGACTTAAATGATGTGTGTAAGATGCTAAAGGGGATTGACAAATAGATGTGGAGCAGATGTTCCCCTTGTGGGGCAATGCAGAACGAGAGGTCATAGTTTTAGGATAAGGGATGGCAGATTTAAACAGAGATGCGGAGGAATTACCTCTCTCAAAGGGTCATGTATCTGTGGAACTCACTATTCCACGGTGCGATGGATGCCAGGAATAAATTTAAGGAGGAGATAAACCAGGGGTTTTTAATTAGTGACGGACTAAATGGTTAGGGGGAGTCAGCAAGAAAATGGAATTGAGATGGAGGTCAGATCCCATGTTCGTACTGAATGAGAGAGTAGGCTCGAGGAGCTGAATTGCCCACTCCTGGATCTAAAGTTTTTATCTGTTCTTATATGGGCATGGATTCACAGAGTCGGGACACCTTCGGAAATTTTTGTTGTGAAGTGATGTGTTCCAATGGGCAGTGGAGCAAGCCACAGGGAACAAGAATAGAAGGTTCTGGCTGTGAAGGAGAGCTATGTGGAAAGCCTGCCTTGGTGAACAGGCAATAGTTTCATTTGGAAAAAAAAGGACAAAACACAAAACTTCCACCCACCCCGTCATATCCCTCTCCCTCACACACGCCCCATGCCTCGTGCATGCCAATTTATGCCATCTGAATTCAAACTATACCCCTTCTTCCACACACCCATCATGCTTCATAGCTCCTGAGCAAACTCAAGAAGACCCCATATCCCTCCATCACCCCAACCCACCTTTACCTTCATATCACACCTAGAATGCACCAATGACATGTCTCAGGATCAATGCAGAGATAAGATAAAATAAAGTTCTATTAAAATAAAATTATAATTGTCTATTGCAGACATCACCCCATTGAAAAGAATGTAGTGCGCAATTGCTTATAGGAACAAACACTGAAATTCATTTATAGTCCCACCGATATGAGGAACTCTCCTACTAGCACCGTCAGTGCATTACACATATTCTGCAGTGATTCAAGAAAGGAGCTCATCAATGCCTTCTCAAGGGCAATTAGGGGTGGCCATTAAAAGGTGCCCTAGCCAACTTCACAACTGCCCCAAGAAATGCATAAGTAAAATAATAAAGGGATGATCTGATTGTGGTGTTTAAGATGACTAAAGGAGTTTCTTGGGTAGATAGTGAGAAACGATTCCCTCTGGCAAAGAAGTACAGAGCAATGGGGCATCACATAAAATTAGAACCTAGCTGTTCAGCTGGGAAACATTCCTTCACATAACAAGGAGTAGGAGCTTGGAGCTTTCTCTCTTAAAAAAAGCTGCTGAGGCAAAGCTAATTGAATGCGGATTTATAGAATTGTGTTAAGCAAGTGTCCAAATAGTGTAGGAGGATGAAGTTAAGTGTAGGTGGCTGAAGTTAAAACCATGAAAGCATAAGAAATAGGAACAGGAGCAGGCTATTTGGCCCTTTGAGTTTTTCTGCCATTCAACAGAATCAACGCTGATCTGACATTCCTCATGTCCACATTCCTACTATTTCCCCAACTCCTTTGATTCCCCTACTGATCAAGAATCTATTTCAGCCTTAAATATACACAAGAACTCTGCGCCCACAGATCTCTGTGACAACGAGTTCCTAAGACTCACAACCCTCTGAGAGAAGGCTCAGAACAGCCTCAATCTAACTCTGAAAGAACAGCCTTGTGAGGCTGAAAATCCTACCTATGTTCCTAAGTTTCCTCAAACTTCTATGTAACAATGCAACGCAACTTATTTTTGCTAATCTTCAAGCCTTGTCAAGAAATAAGAAAATAACTTTAGCATGGAGTGAATCGCTATCTTTGGTTGGGGGGTGGGTATGAGGGAATAGGGACCATTAAAAACTGTTTATGTGGCACACTGTAAAAATCAAGACATATAATTCCCACTATCACTATATTACTGTCAACTGTAAAGAGATTAAAGACTGATCCTGCCTAATTGGATTCTGTATGGACAAACTGCATTAAGGAAATCTGGTAAAGCGATTCTGACCATCTTCCGAAACTCCACTCACAGGGGTTTCCACATGCTGGATTTGACACATCCCATTATTTTACTCTTCTGTTAAAGATTAGGTCACCCAGCTTTGGAAGCCAAAATCAGGCATGTGACATTTTATCTTAGTCAATTGTTAAATAATAAAGCAACTCGTTTTGAAGAAATGGCCTGCAATGTGATGATATGGCTGTCAAGTTTATTTATGTACATGATCGAGTGTTTAATTTGTTTTAATTAACTGACAATGTTTTCTCTTTATCAGATAAGCAAATCGACTTTGGATAAAGGATTTATAATTTCCAGCTGTTAGACATTGGGATGTGGAGCTGAAAGCTCGGTTAACAGACTACATTGCCTTTAATAGGCTTTGTAAGTTAATGGGTGATTAACTGGTGGTGGTTAATAGATTAAAACAAATATCATGGCTGATTTGGTGACGGAAAAGAAATGCTCAGTTTGTATAAGAGCACTTCAGGGTTACAGGGATAGGGTGGGGAGATGGGTTTGGGTGGGGATGCTCTTTGGAGGGTCAGTGTGGGCTCAATGAGCCAAATGGCCTGTTTCCACACTGCAAGGATTCAATCATTCTGTGAAAAAAAACAGAGTTAACCATCTGCACTGCCCTTAGCAGGCTGTGCATGTGAAATAATCAATTGGAAAATGCAAGTGTTAGATTGGTGGTGGTTAATAGATACAAATTGCCACAGATATTTTGGTGGTGGGGACAGCCATTCAGTTGTGTGTGAAATTACTTCTGTGTACAAAGGAAAACCAAAGAGAAAAAACAGCTGAGCTAATTTGGTGTCATTGCAACACCTCTGATGGACTTTGCACGTAAATTGATAATTAATTGGGAACACGGGTGATTTAGTGATGGTAGATAAAGTTGAAAAGTAACATGGTGATGGACAAAAATGCTTAGTTATGTGTGAAAGCACTTCTGGCTATAGACAAAAAGCTGAGTTAAACATCAATCCAAAACAATCTCTACGAATTTGAACTGAAAAATTCTATAGTCATTTGAGCTATTTTTTCAATTAACTCCAAGCTTGTCATTGATTGTTCCATAATATGATGTACTATTTAGAGCTGAATGAAGTAACACTTATTCTTAATCTGCATTTGAGATGATCGAGCAAACATTTTTTTTTCTGTGTGCTAAATGCCAAGATGGAAGTTTTGACTGAATGTTTGGCTTTCCTTCTGAAGGCTGCAACAAATTTTCAGACTTTGCTGTTCTACTTTGCTTCAATTGAGATTTAAACTTTAACTCTTTCATTTGTGTGATCCTATTTATAAATTTGAACAAAAATGGCCACACAGTCGCGTCAAGTTATGGGCCGGCATGGTGCAGGTCCTTTTTAATCACAACCAGGACCAGCTGGCAACTGTGCGTGAATTTGAAAAGAATTGGGTGAAGCTGTCACAGCATATGTTGACATATTCATTTGAGAATTGCCTTTAAGTAATAAACAAAAGCTCACTTAAACTGTGCTGCATCCTAGCAGCGGTAGGGTACCCTAATGCTTAAAGGTCAAAAGATGGGACTCGGGCATCTCCAATGATCAGTATTTCAGCATGACTTTGATTTCAAAATAAGTCCAAGTTGTTCATTCCTGAATGCCAAAGTCACTTAAGCTGCATATAAATCACAGCGTTTAAGTACAATTTAGGCTCGACCCAAAAAGAATTCCTGCTGTAGATCCCAACTATTTAAAGAAGATCTCTTGTCAATGTGGAAGGGATTATTGAGTATCTGCAACCCTGTAATTAGCCAATCAAACCCTGGCTTTCTGTTTCGCCACTGGTTAATTAATACATTGATCAGACGGTTTCGGATCCACAATGGAATGGCTGCGGCAAGAAATGCCAACAAACAGAAAGTCTTCTCAGAGGATTAATAAAATTGGTTCTCATTCCTCTTCCACTAGAATAACAAAAATACACTCCACAACAGCTGAACATGATAATCTGAATGCCTTTTCAATGTTGGTATTATAGTAAGAACTACAATATACAAGCTCTCAATCACTGTCAAATCTCCAATGCACAGACTCCTGTAGGATGTAGTGGATTTAATTAAGCAAGGTTTACTGAAACCACAATTACATGAGGGCTTCATTCCCAACAGCCTGATTTTAATCGACAGTTACTGCACCAAGATTCCTGGCATGTGCAGAAACACACACCAGTAATCTTGACTGCTTGGCTTCTATTTACCAGTGAGATATATTCACTTGATCGGTGTTTGGATTATTTTGTGTATAAAAAAGG